AACGGGCGCTTTGCCACTGTAGAGGAAGCAAGGATGGAGAAAGGTGACGAGTGGAGTGGGTTTCGGTATTCTCTGTAATAGGATAGCGTGTGTGAACAACAATTTTTTCTTTGGGTTGCGCCAGTATATTTTTGTGTCGCATTCTGGTAGTTTGAAGTTGCGACGCGCCACTTCGTTTTCGATGGGGACTCGATCTTGTGACGTGTGACCAAACGCGCGGCGCGACTCGATCGTCGTGATCAAGAGAATTGTTATTCAGTGTTGTGGGTTACTTAATCATATACAACAGTGACGATATGGATGGTCCCCTGGTCTCTCTCCCGTGTTTGCTTGATTCACATTCTTTCAGTGTTACCACCCGGCGGATTTTTTGAACCTGTTGCCCATTGCTTGCCCAGTACACTTGGCAATATGATGCGATGCCTGTCCACACGTCCACAAGTGATCCAACCACTGGCAGATTGACAAATTGTATGGCTGCAGCCTGCAGGGATCTTGATACCTCAAATCCTCATGATAATTGCTGAAAGTTGAATGGATCCGACAGTATATCGTCCATGGCACGTCCGTCATTTGTTTTGGCAGCCCAGGTTAGATGTAAGGTTGCAAGCCTTACTGGAGTACCTGCTGATGTCTTCGGCATCTATTCACTGGCAGTGCTCCATTGAAATGTCCTTATCATGCCAAGCACAACTGGGGTTCTTCTATCGTCGAAGCGTCAAGCTATACAAATATTCTCTCTTTCTTCTCAATCATGTCGGTGAAGAGTGGCTCCCTGGAGAAGGACACCAGCGATCCTGAAATTGTCTCCGTGCACCAGCACGGTGTGTATAGACCAGAAGTCGACACTTCGGGTGTCGATGAGCGTCGATTACTACGTAGGATTGACTGGCACACCGTTCCATGGTTGGCGCTCCTTTACCTGTTGAACTTCCTTGATAGAGGGAATATAGGTAATGCAAAGGTAATATACTATTTGTTGCTTCTTGAATCCATCTAACATCATCGCGACCAGTTGTACGGGATGACGACCGACCTACACATAAACAATACACAGTATCTGATAGCCCTCACGGTGCGATGGATGCCTGGCAGTGCCTCTGTAGCATGACTGATGCAAAGCACAGGTTTTTTTCTTTCCTTATGCACTATTTGAGGTTCGAGATTACACTCTATGACGACAATGTTGTACTAAAATCAGTTGTTAAGCTTCCCAGCAACGTTGCTCTGAAGAAATTGCGGCCGTCCCGATGGCTTGCTTTTCTTATGTTTGTATGGGGTGTTGCAATGGTGAGTGCGACTGCTTTTCACGAAACGGTACGAGTTCTCATAAGTCTCAGACACTGCATGGCATTGTTGACAATTATGGAGGGCTTGTTGGTAGGCACTGAGGAATCCATATTCTACCTTCATGTGCTCATTAGACAACAGGCTTACGTATTCTACTCGGACTTGCTGAGGCTGGACTTTATCCTGGTATCGTTTACTACCTCTCCTGGTCAGCGTGTTCTACTTGTCATCTCATATAAAACGGTATTGGCTCACGATCAAATATAGCTGGTACAAGCGTTCGGAGCTAGGCACCCGCGTTGCAATATTTTTCACATCCGCCACAATCGCTGGCGCATTCAGTGCGTGTCTCCCAGGTTTAGAGATTGTCTTAACGTTTATTTGGCGACTTGAACCTTCGTAGGTGGCTTCTTGGCAGTGGCAATTAATAAAATGGACGGCATTGGCGAGAAACCTGGCTGGGCATGGATTTTCATTCTCGAAGGTCTATTCACCGTCTGTTGTGCTGTCGCATCGTTGTGGATTCTCCAAGATTTCCCTGATACCGCAAGATTCCTCAACGAAACAGAGCGTTGGTGCTATGAATTCTCGCCATGCGTCTTCTCACCATAGATCAGGCGTGTGGGTCATCAGACGACTCCAAGCGGACTCGAAATTTAGTGCAGGAGGAGAGACTTTCAAATTCAAATACATTAAACAAAGCTTGACAGACTGGAAAACTTGGCTAGCTAGTATGTCTTTGCTCCTCCAGATTATACCATCACTGAGCGGATGCCTATCTGTTCTTGTCATCAGCGGGAATCTACATGGGATAGTTCGTTGCGCCACTGTCTGCGCATTCGACGACTAATATGCGTGCATAGCGATGGTCCTCTCTTCGCATTCTCCCTCTTCACGCCGACCATTATCAATCAGGTATTCCTACTTATTTACATGTTGTATGAAGTGATACTAATCTTGTCAATAGTTAGGTGCATGTCACCCGAATTGTTTCCTATAACTTTTCTCAAGATGCATCCCTTCAGGATACGAAGCGACTACTGCAAATTTACTCTCTGTGCCGCCGTACGTTTGGTCATGTCTCGTTACTGTTATTGTGGGCTTTGTGGGAGACCGGACAGGGAAGAGGGCGTACATTAACATGTATGTATGTCACAGGTCTTTTCTGATCATTCGTTCCTGAACTTTGTTCCAGCACACTATTCAGTACAGGTAGGTCTACACCATTTTCTCTCTCACAATTCTTCATGCGTTTCCCTACAGGATTAGTGGGATACATCATCCTATTGACTTCACGTAGCCCTCCGTTATCTTACTTCGCAGTGTTTTTGGCCGCAGCGTGAGTCGAACTACTTCAAAACTACACACTTTTACAACAGATCTAATTTTCCGAGTGTAGTGCTATATACCCAACCGTCCGTAAGTGGATTCGAACTTTGCTATATCTGATTACACTAATTATCACTGTTCACAGCGAATTCAGTGTATGCTCTGAACGTTTGGGTGCCGTTCATTGCTTGTAACTGATTAAAATACATTGATAGTGCCTGGGTCTCGAGCAATGTCGAGGGATCGTACAAACGTAGTGCTACATTGGCCCTTGCCATAGGATGGGCTAATATCAACGGTGCCGTGACCTCGAACATTGTACGTTCAAGCTTACCTTGGTTAGTCACCTTAATTCCTAAGTATTTCGATTTTCCCCAGTATCGCTCAGAAGATGCACCATGGTATCGCATGGGTCATGGCATTGTGCTGGCTTACATTGCTATCGGCTGGATTTGCTCCTTGGCATTCTATATTATGCTCCGACGCGAGAATGCGCGCAGGGATGCAGGTGAACGAGATGAAATTATTGAAGGCGTCGAGAACAAACACGCCCACGAGCGAAACGGGCGTTTTGCAAGCGTAGAGGAGGCTAGAATGGAGAAGGGCGACGAGTGGAGCGGATTCCGATATTCCCTATAAATAAACTCAACGTGACTAAATCGGTAAGACTATCGGCCAGTTAGGCACTTCCTGTAGCGTAGCCCGTTGACGCAGCAATGTCCTCGTCGCAAATATCTTGAGTGATGATTTTATGAGTAGCGCTGTAAGATACTATGATGGATACAAATGCATTAATTACATCAATGTGCCCAGTCCAACGTGTACGACGATCCAACATGGCCACGAAAATGGGATAACTATCGAGATGAAGATCTTATAACCGTGGTTGATCTATTGGTGACGTAGCGGGTACAGGTGCGGGCTCGTCAGGTGTCTCGAGTGGTGGTGGTGCACTGCGCTCCTGATTCCTGTTTTCGTCTAACCATTTATCCATCGCATCCTTACGATTTGCAAATGGACGTTGACCGAGGAGGTTGATCATGTCCTCACTGTATAATAGTCAGCGATAATTCCAAACAGTATCAATCGCCAATGACATACCGTGTAATTACTTCTTTCTCTAGCAACAATTTCGCAACCTTCTCGACGTCCTCACGATGTTTTGTCAGAAGATCTCTAGTGCGCAAGTGCGCATTCCTACACACCACGAGGTAAGTGAAAGAAAATCGAAAAGGATCGGATTACCACTTACACAATCATCTTGCGGACTTCGGCATCCAACATCTCTCCCGTCTTCTCGCTGAAGGGCTTCTGCCACCGCTCGTCCGTTGCCTTGGCACCACCATAGCTTACGGGCCCAACAACTTCGTTCATGCCGTAGTTAGCAACAGCTTCAAACGCCATACGGGTGATCTTCTGCAGATCATCCTGAGCACCAGTGGTGATGTTCTCCGTGCCAAAGAATATTTCCTCGGAGACTCGGCCGCCAAGCGTCATGCAGATACGATCCAGCATTTGTGGTGTCGATAACAAGTATCGATCAGGGGGCAAATACTACGTGCAAGCATGAGCTTATTGTCCCCCGGAAGAAACAATGCTTACCTGAGCGTAACCCAACGCACCAACACCGCGAGGAATGATGCTAACTTTGAGTAACGGGTCTGCGTGTTCCAAAAACCATCCACATATCGCATGCCCGGCCTCATGATAAGCTACGGTCTTCTTCTCCTCTGGGCTCAACAGCCTGCTCTTTCTCTCCAGCCCGACAATCACTCGCTCAATCGCACTTTCGAAGTCAGACTCCTCAATAGCTTCGTGTCCGTGACGAGCCGCATGGAGAGCACCTTCGTTACAAACATTTGCAATGTCGGCGCCTGAAAACCCAGGAGTAAGCACAGCTAGCTTGTGCGCAAATGTTTCCACTTCGGGGAGCTTCTTCGACAGCTTGAGGGGACCTAAGTGCACCATGAATATGCCCGTACGGCCAACAACATCCGGGCGATCGATAGCTATGTGCCGGTCAAATCGACCAGGGCGCATCAGGGCAGGGTCGAGAACATCCGGTCGATTGGTGCCGGCGAGGACGACGACATGCTCCTGAGTACCGAACCCGTCCATCTCCACCAGAAGCTGATTGAGGGTGTTCTCCCGCTCGTCATTACCCCCGAACCCGCCACGCTTGCCACGAGCTTTCCCTATGGCATCAATTTCGTCAATGAAGACGATCGACGGCGCATTCTTCTTCGCTGAGGCGAACAAATCTCGGACACGAGAAGAGCCTACACCAACAAACATCTCCACGAACTCAGAACCAGACACGGAAAAGAAGGGCACATTGGCTTCGCCGGCAGTGGCCTTCGCTAGCAATGTCTTTCCGGTACCTGGAGGACCTGAGAGGATGGCGCCACGAGGAATCTTCGCACCAAGCTTCTCATAGCGAGCGGGTTCCTTAAGGAAAGAAACAAACTCCATGATCTCCTGCTTCGCCTCATCCATACCGGCAATGTCCTTGAACTTCACCTTGACATCCGTGTCCTTGTTGAACATCCGTGCACGGCTCTTTCCAATGTTGAAAATGCCGCCCGACGAGCTGGATGAGCCTCCTGCTCTCCGCGAAAGGTAGAACAGGACGCCGGCGAACAAGAGGGTAGGACCAAAATTGAGGAGATAGCTGAATGCTGAAACCTCTTCGTGATACGCGACAGGGATCCGCTCATGCGATGGAATACCCAACTCTCTCTGAGCCTCGTCGAGCTTGCGTTCGAATGCCTCGACAGAGCCAATCGAGAAGTAGTACTCTCCGCCGCCCACAGGTGCGGAGGGATACATGGTGCCTGTTGCATTCGAGTGAAGCTTGACGCGCACCTTGGTTCGGTTGACAACAACCAGCTTGTCAACGAGGCCCTTGTCGAGGAAAGCAGTGCGGAACTCCTGCCAGGTAATCTCACGAGACCCCGTCGTGGTAGAATTAGAAAGAGCATAGAATATGGCGGCGGTGGTGGCAAGGAGAGCAAGCTGGTTAGGATTGAAGCCATTATTGTTGCCGTCCGGCGGCGGCGGAGGTCGTTTGTTAGACTCCTTCTCGTCACGGTGGGGCTCGTCCTCTTTCCGCGAAGACTGCTGCTGGTGATATCGTTGAAAAAAGCCTTCAAGACCCTTCAATGGCTCTGGTTTATGTTCGGCATCCTTCGAAACCTCCTCTGAAGCCTTTCTCCCAACTTCTTCCGCTGACTTCTCCGTACTCCTCTCGTCCTTCGGCTTCTGCTCCGGGGTTGGAGGATGATTGGAAGGAGTAGCGAAAGTTCGGATATACCGAGTCCTTGTGAGAGGGGCAATGCGCCCACGGCCAAGGACCGACGCGCGCAGTGAACGGCTCAGCATGAGAGATAGTAGGAGAGAAGGAAGAGGTGATGAGCGGGCGGTGAGATTGCGTGCGGCCGTAAGCACACGCAATATGCAGCCGCTGCACCCGAGATTGCCTCTTATTCAGGTGACTAACTAAACCTCAATATAGGGTTCTCTATTCACGTGATCAGATCCCATCTTATGGCCAGACTTTGAAGTTGGCTCTTGGTTGATTGTACTACTACTACTCGGACATTCAAATTATAACACTGAGCGACTGGTATCAATCATGGATTTTTATTTCAGTATAAACTCTAAGCTCTTGCATAATGTTTTGGTGCTATGATCCTTTATCTACCTGTCTGTATCAGGTGCCGAATCATTAATATAGCGGTCGTAAGTGTAATTGCCCACTTTAGTTAGTGCGATGCGGCTCCAAGTTGCATTTCTTGAGGGCAGTTGGTGAACGAGCATAGGCTGTCTTTGTTTCAGACCACGCGGTGCGCAATGCCAGTGAGCGGTACGGCGTTGGCATCATTCAAAAGGAAGCAGATGAACAATTCCGTACGCCCTGTGGGTCCGCGGGACAGGAAAGAATTTGTGCAACGAGATTTGAGCTGAAGGGCGCAAGGTGTTGGACGCGACATGTCTATCACAATCCGTTCTGTCGATAGCGTGCTCGTATGCCAACTCTGAGATCTCCAGTGACTATGCTTCATTGATCGACATGATCTATGGGCCACTTGTGACCGAGGTTGTGAAGTTCAGTGCTGTAGTCATTGCAGGAGGCGAGGATCGTCATACACCTGACAATGCGACCACAACGCTTGACGATGCCTCGAAAGGATAAAAGTTGCATAAAGCGGGTGGATGTGTTCAATCGACGCATACATAACAAATGGTGCCAGCTTGACACTCCGAGTCCAAGCATGTCAAATTCGGATCCACATGCGCGAACATCTATTTGCAAAGTGAAATGCTGCAGGGCCCATTCATTCGAGCTCGTGAAAAGGAAGTTTATGCATCAATTTTCCCTATTACGTTGCGTTCACACTCTGCGCTTTTTGTGTCATGAATACTCAGCTCAAATTTACTCGTAATATACACTTCAAGTATTTTGATCAGACTCTCACCGACACCACTGGGCATCCAAAACAATTCCACCCTTAAATCATCCGGCCATTCACAATCGTATCAGGCGTAGGAATGGTGTAGTTCCCGTAGCAGTCGTAGTCAAAGTCAATCTCAGCAACGCGCTCCTTTAAGCCCTCGATGAAGTTGGCGAGCGGACACAAGCCGTCTTCGTTCTCGGCTTCACAGTGTGCAATTCCGGTGAGCGGAACGGCGCCGTCGTTCAGTAGGAAGCGGATGAACGTCTCCTTGATGGAATCTGTCGAGGCGGGACATGAGACGACCTGGCCGACAAGATTGGAAGCATAGGCTGCAAAGTGTTGTACATGATACGTCTGAACAAATACCGAAAATGAGCAATACGTCTATAAATATCATATAGGAAACACATACGTGATCTACTGGAATGTGATCCCACGGGAGAGGGCCACCGGCCGCCATGGATGTGAAGTTCAGGGCAGTGATGACTTAGGAACTTGATTGAGTTCAAATACATCAGCAGCTAAAAATAACACGCACTAGTTGCAATGACGACATCATGGGTAGCATCCGCATAGATCGGCTGATCTAGAGGGAAGGTTATACTGTTCCCGTCCAAGGTACTGTTGAGAGTCGTGTCGAAGGTTGTCAACGGCGTTTTGGTAAGTCGTGCAAGGAGTTCCTGGACGTAACCGACGCCCCTGGCAGCAGCATTAGGGTTTCCGGGACCTTGGCCATACCAAAAAGATAAGTCTACAGAATATATGGGTCAGTCATCGTCAGCTGACTGCAAAAGGCATTTGCAAGGTCACGTACCAATGGAATATTCGAAGCCTCGCCACTCTTCTTCTGTGAAGAGACCACAGAATTGGGAGTAACCCAAAGATACAGTTTCGTAAGAACAAAGAGCCTGCATAGCATATACGTAGTCGGGGGTTAATGTGAACCCAGTCAAGTACTGCTGCAGGCGCTCCGTGGTTTTCTTCAGGTAGATCTGAGTCCAGTTACCGGAAGCGTAATCGCCTATCGTACCACCAACACCGTTGTTCGAATCTGTGCAGGTATCATAGGGCGCAAGAGTGTTATTGTACCCGGTAGCTTCGATGATTATCTCTTCATGATAGGACGTCAAGTACTGTGGGATGCCGAAAAAGCCAGCCGCAAAGTTGGACCTATTGGTTAGATAAGTTTAGACCATTTCTCCGGAGAAGCTGTGGGGTACTTGCATCGAAGCCACCATTCGATCTGAACGGACCGCATATCTAAATAAGTGCACGATGAGGAAGACAGTGAGGCGAAACGACTCACCCATAGAAGTCGTTCGAAAGACAGGTATACTTGTAAATTTGTCGAGTAGTCTCCCATATTTGACTCGGAAACCAACTCCTAGCTGGAACCTTCAGAAGCGTGGATAAGTGTAGATTACGCTGTGTTGACTATTTCAAGTACACTTACGGCTGTTCTCGACCGAATGGAGTCAAGAGCTCCTGACCAAGGGTATAGGTCCAGGTGTTGAGAAATTCGAGAGGACCCGATGCGGTAAAGCCTGTAGTCTGGGCCACTTTGTGCAAAGCGGCAGCAAGGACGCTGGGGGCTTCACCCGCGGTAGGGTATCTGGCACCGTGACGGAACAGGAGGTGCACCTGTTCTAGCTCACAACCATCCGGAATTTGAGGAGAAGTGTTAGGCAAGCCAAAGGCGCCACCAACAGAGTACCATGGTCCAAGATTACCCCAGTGGTACATGGGGTTAAATGCTGGACCGGATGTGGTGTACTGGGAGGAGGGTACGATGACTGGATATGTGTCAAAGTTGAGGGACGCTGCAGGGGCGGTCGCGATCGCCTCGGGCTCTGCTCCAGCTGTGCGTTATGTTAATACTCGATTCGACGACGCGGAGGAGGGAGCACTTACTGGGGGTCGCACCGGGGAAGCCGACTTGGGACTCATCGGGAAAGTAGGAGTCGTACAATGTTGCTGTAACATCGGGAGGAGGGAAGGCTGCGGTGGAAGTAGAGCCAGCAAAGGGCGATGCAGACTCAGCAAGAGCGGCAAGAGCGACGGGGAGGGCACCGATGAGGGCGAGGGCGAGGACGAGGACCATGGTGGCGGACGTAGTTCCTCCGGGCTAGCCTGGAGTTACGGGACCGTGTTGGAAGCATTTATACGAATTGCGGGGAGCGTGGACGTCGTCGGCGGCAAAAGGGACGTCGGCAGGGCATTCGTTGAGCATGCAGGATCAGAAGAAAGGACTCGAGGACGGTGCGCACGAGTGTGGACGGAGCCAATCCTCTCTCTCGCTCGATCGTCTATCCCCATTCTATTCATAGCCCGCGCGTCCAAATTCAAATCGCGCGGCACGGTTCCCTGATTCGACTCCTCGCCCCCCGGTTTGGTCCTGAGCTTTCCCAGGTCCGTCCTGGTTCGATTCTGTCTGTGCTTCCCACTCGAGTTGAATCTCTCCGCCACTTTGGCCTGGGTCTGCACGTTCTCCATGCCTCGGTCCATGGCCATATCGACTGCACATGTCTCGACGCCTCTCCAGCCCCTTCGTTTCTCTCTTATCTTCCTCCTCCAGACACAGGCCTCATTCCGCTTACAACCGCGCTGCTTACCATGACTATATTCGCTTTTCCACTCCAGGTCAGTCAGACTATATGCATCAGTCGGCCTTTCTGACTGGTCTTCAGGTGGCACCGCTCGCATCCCTCTCAAGAACCCCAAAGTCATAGGCGTCGCATCATCACGGGGCGAGCGACCGTATGCACGTTATCTCGTTTATCCCTGCACGCCTCACCGCCTGTTACACCCAGACAGCAAGAGGATTTCTACGCATACGTCGCCCTGTCTCTTGACCCCGAAGAACTGCGCCGCAGTTTGAGGAAGGCCCATCGCATTGATTGGGACCCGACCTCGCTCCCACCTGCGCTTGCCCGCCAGGTTCTCTTCGTGGGCGTGTACGACGGTCACGGCGGCTCGACCGTATCCCAATTCCTTCGCCAGGAACTTCACGGTCTGTTCGAGAACGTGGACAAGTCGCACGTTCCAGATCTGTATGTGTGGGCTACTGAACTTGGCGGATACTTCAAGCGATTCCAAGGCGGCGCACTCGCACCCTGGGTACGCCCCGGCGCGTCGGATACGAAAATGGACCTGGAGGCTCGAGCGACACTGGCGTTCTTTGAAGTTCGTCTTTGCTTTGGTATTTTGGGCGCTGCATGTGAGGGCATTTGAGCTAATGAATGCATCAGGTCGACCGGACACTGTGCATCGAGAAGGCGGCCCAGGAATGTGGCGCGACTGCGTCCGTGGTCCTCCTGCAATCGTTAGACAATCCAGTCAACCCATTCTTTACGTCCAAACGGCTTGCCCTGACAGTTGCTCATGTCGGGTGAGCTCCCTCTAAATGAAGTATCGCAGGTTACTTACTTGTGCAATAGCGATACTAGGGTCCTTCTGAGCGCAACCGAGAACGGCGCTGTGATTCCGATGACTGAGAACCATCACGTCGACGCACGCGTAGAGGCAATCAGACTTCGACGGATGATGGGGAGTGGACAAGCCATGGACTCTTTTGGTGAAGTGCGGTAAATTGAGCGCACTGTACTCGTCATTTTGTCTTCTCACTATTAACGACTATGATGCTCAGGTGGATGGGAGCACTGGCCAATACCCGTAGGTTAGTCTCTACACACGTGTCAGGCGACCTTCAGACTGAGCTAATTCGTCAATGCAGCCTGGGTGATCTGAGGTATAAGCGTTTCGGCGTAACCCCTGAACCCGAAGTCCGTACCGGGCTTCTCGACGGTGAATTTCCTCTCCTTTGACGTTTGTCGTGCCAGACTCACCGGTCCTAGGTCCTGCTTACTCGCACATCACCCTGGTCTCCGACGGCGTGTCCTCTGTCGTATCGGACGACGAGATATCCGACCTCGCGCGCGGAAGCCCCACTCCGCAATATGCGGCCCAGCGAATTATGAGATTTGCAGAGGACATGGGCAGTGACGATAATCTGACCGCCCTCGTCGTCCCCCTCGCTGGGTGGGGCAAGATGACGGGCGGCGATCGCACTCGCGAGCTGCGCGAGTACAGGCGACGCCACATGGAGGGCAACGAACGCCAGAAGGCGCGATGGATGTGAGCGATCAGCGGCGCAGTCACAAGCGGACGTCCCCTAGGACATACGATATCTTACATTTGTAATTTATTGCACACGGCTACATCTTGGGTATTTTACTCCCTGCATCGTACACACACGCCCGCCTCAAATCTGCGCCGCCGCATGCCCGTCCGAACGTGGGTCGGAGCCCGCGGCCCATACTGTCCTGCCGGACTGGTCGACGATCTTCTGGATGACCTGCCCGCGCCCGAACAGCGAGCGGCCGAGCCCCGTCGCGAGGCGTGCATCGTGTCCCATAGCTGCTCACACCGCATCAGTACTAGCTCGCGCGGAAACAATAATAATAAACGGATGGCGCACCGCGTAGCTGGTCCAGCACCTCGGGCGCGATTCCCTCCTCAAAGTACACCTCGCTATTGATATCGCCCGCCACGCCTTCTGCCGTCGAGTCTGGGCTGCCGGCGGAGATGCACAGTCGCGGCGCATCGAGCGCTGCCTGTGCGGTGAATCCGCGCAGCATGTTCAGCAGCACCTGCACGTGTCCCTGCGGCTGTGAGGCACGGCGGCGGGGTCGGTCAGTCAGTCACGGCGCGTGCGATTGGGGCGGGAGTGGAGCACATGCCTGCATGAATCCGCCCATGACACCGTAGCAGAGGAATAGCTCGTCGCCGCGGAGGGCCATCGCGGGGATGATGGTGTGGTATGGCCGCTTTCCGCCCTGCGCGTGCGCCGGTCAGCGTCTGCCGCAGCCGGCACTGCAAGGGGGAGCTGGACGCACCTCCAACGCGTTTGCGTGCCCCGGGATGAGGTAGAAGTTGCTGCCGCGGTTCTGCAGCGTAAATCCGCACCCTTTGGGGATAGCTGTTGCGAAAAGAGATGGAGTTAAACTCGAGGTGATGGCAAAGAGCTGCATCGTGGCGCACCTGCGGTGCCGAAACCTGCTTGTAGCGCGTTTCAGTACAGAGTCGGCGCATGTGGTTCAAGTCTGTCCCGACACTCACCACCGTAGTTACTCTGAATGTAACTGCATGCGTTTCCCCACTCGTCGGTTACTGGTCAAGTCTGTTACGTGTCAGGCCAAAGGCTACCGAGAAAATGCGCTTACCAGAGAAATAAACGGTGTCTGAAGAGAACACCGGGTTTCCCTAGAACACGATATATCAGTGACATCTGGGCCTGTGCTTCTCGTTGAATTCTTACGTGGATGACTTCGGGGTTTGTCTTTGTGGGATCAAACAGCTTAGCGCGAGTTGCGAGATATTCCTGGCAAATGCGGTGGTGTTGGGCAGACAAAACAACCTGACAGGATGACGGGTCTTACTTTGCTCAAGAGCCCTGCGACGGGCGTGCGGATGAAATCAGGATCACTGACGTAGTACTGGGTGTCTGTTGCGGCACGCATTAGCCATAATCAGGCTGGAAAATTCCCTAGAATCTTTACTCACCGGCGAATGCGAGTCTGCGAGACGTATGGATCAGCGACGAGAGATATAGAAGGATGATGGGGTGTACCGCAGGGATTCGACAAGGGCATGCAGATACTCGGTGGAGTTGTGTTCCATCTCCAAGAGGGAGCGGATCTTGCCCTGCTCCTCCATGCTTTCGAGAATACCGAGCGCGAGCAACGCGGTGATACCCTGTCCATTGGGTGGGCACTGGTCTGACCGTCACGAGATGTTTTCTGACGAGACTGAGCTGGACGCACTTCATAAAGGGTGACCTCGTCGTGGAACGTGTACTTGATAGGATCCACGAAGGTGGTCTCGTGACTGGCGAGATCGGAGAGTTCCATGACGCCGCCCTTACTCTGGATGAGGTCGACGATGGCCTGGGCGACCCTGCCCTTGTAGAAACCGTCTTTGCCATGCTCTACGAGGGAGCGGAATGTTTTCGCAAGGTTGGGGAGGCGGACGATCTGGCCAGGGAGTGGTGCCTTGCCGTTGAGAAGCATCTCGTCTCCACTGGGAGACGCGCTTTTAATCAGATCCTCGGATCGCTGCCACTGTGCGCAGCGGGGAAGGTCAGAAGGCCAATCGGGATGTCTGCAAGGCAAGACGCACCGCGTGCGAGTGGATCTCCGATACGGGCACGCTGCAGCCGCCGTCAGTGCGGGCCCTCGAGTGGTATGAGAAGTACACGCACCCTTCTTCTGCGAGTCGGATGGCCGGTGCAAGGACGTCTGCCATGGATAGCTTGCGGCTGCCAAACTTGTCGACGGTGTCCACCCATGCAGCGGCGGCACCTGACGAGGGCGTCGGACCGGCCACAGGATATGATACGCGGGGAAGGACGAACCTGGGACGGTGACGCTGTTTAGGTTTGTGACGGGGATCGTCTTGCCAGTGATCCCCTGCTGACGAACATAATCGATGGTTAGTTTGGCAGGGGAGCGGCCGGAGCCGTTCATGGCCTGGACGGTCTTTGCTTTTGCATCGTAGAAGAGGCAGAACGCGTCTCTGTGTGCGGGCGTCAGCGGGGCGGGCGGGGGACAGGCGGGATACGGACCCGCCGATGCCGCAGCAGCTGGGCTCGGTGACGTTGAGGGCGGCAGAGACGGCGACGGCGGCGTCGGCTGAGCGTGGGGGAGTGAGGATGGCGCCGATCGGGGGGATGGAGCGACTCGCCTGCATTTCCGCCCTTTCTGAGGATTTCCAGGCCAGCCTCGACGGCGAGCGGCTGCGAGGCTGCGACCATGCCTTTTGTGCCATACACCTGGGAGCGGCGGCTAGCAAAGCGCTGGAAGACGATGTCGGGCTGGTTGACCTTGGACCAGTTGATCTTCATTTTGGGAGGCTGAGAGTGGCAGACGCGTGCACAGACGAGGACACGGAACTGGAGAAGAGCACTGGCAGAGACTCGAAATTAATGACTCGAGCGGGGGCTGTTATCGCGGAAAACGGGTCTCCGGATGATAGTCCGGTTATTTGGAGAACGGACATCAGCGCTGGAGCAGATCCTGATGGGCGACCCGCCCTGCAGGCTGCGTCTCAGGTTGTTGGCTGGACCTGCCGACGAGGTGCGGCCCCGTGGATATGTGCAGGGCAAGGTACAAGGAAATCACTTGAGAGGACTGAGCCTGGCCGAGCATCTCCGAGACAATCTGAGATGGAGCCTGGAGGTGAGCCCGGAGCCGTGGGCGTCGCCGGGGACCAACAGTGCGTAGAGACCGAGAAGGTCACATGACAGGCTGCAGCGTCCGTGTCGACCGGAGGCTTCAAGCGACTGTCGGCGGCGGCGGCGGCGGCTCCTGCTCAGCTTGCGCCAGAAATGACAAAGCCCTGCGCTCGCCGCTTTCGCTGTCTCCTCCCATGCCCAAAGTCTCCTCCACCTCTCGCAACTCTCCCTCGCCTCCTCAGTCCCTCCACACCCTGCGCAGAAACCAGGTCCGTCCCCGTCCCCGACCCCTCGCTTTTGTATCCTCACCTCTTCGCAGGCCTGCCATCAGTGCCGTAGGCGCAAACTGGTCAGTCGCTCTCGGTCTCCGTCCTCCCACCCGACTTACCTACCCGCTTCCTCCCCGCCTTTTAGAAATGGTCCGCCGCTTCCATTCGGCCCTTGCCCGATCCCCGAGCACACTAACCCCGCAATCCTCCCAACAGCGACGCAAAACGCCCTTGTTCCACCTGTGTCCGCTCTCATTCGTATGCACTCACTCATGCCGCACCAGACACAGAGTTGCCTGCTCTTCCCCAATGCACCTATGACGAAGGTGCGCCCGAGCGAACCCCCATACTGGCTGGCCCCTTCTCATACAGGTTTGTAGTGGAAGCAGGGAGCGTCGATTCTCCGGAGAATCCAAATACTCGCTTTGAGCGTCTGGAAAATAGAATTAGTACGTCGAACCATCCCTTCCTCGTTCATCTCGGCGTCGTGACCGAGCATTCCGCATAGACGAGCTGGAAACGTTGCTGCGCGAGAAAGATCGAATCCAGAGCTTCCATAAACAATTTGCCACTGATGTCACGAACCCGCTCCGGGATCCCCTAGCCCAGGCTCTCTCGATCAACAGCCCCTTCCAACCGGATGTCGGCAACAGTCTGTCATTCCCTAATCAATTCCCAGAGAATACTCTCGATAATTTGGCAGACATAGCCAGCCTTGTTGGCACGGTCTCTACGTCAATCGAGCCGGATTCACGCGTCGGGTCGACCTCCTCGCCCCTGTTGAATGATGCCGTGCCGACCGCCATGATAAACGGCATGGATCCTGCCACGGGCATCTCCTACAACGCCTGGCCTCGGAATCTCCCCCAATTTCCTCTTCTGCGTCATCTGTAAGCCTCCAAGATCTCAACATGTCGATCCACCCTGCTTACATCTACCAGTGTTGATACGTTCTTTGTTTGTTACCCCCACGCCGTTAAATTGTTCCACCACTCGACGTTCATGGCCTCGCTAACATTACCTCCGACGCACCCTAAGTTCCCAGCCGCGTCGGTGCTCCACGCCATATGTGCCGTAGGTAGCATGTACACCTCGGTCTTGCCCCGTCCGACCAATCCACAATCAGCGGCCTTTTCTCCCTGTGAGTGTCTAGCACTGCTATAACTTGAAGGTGCTGGATTTATATATCACGTCAGCAGATGAAATATTTCCAGACAAGTACAAGTTGGCTGAAGGGATACCTGATTCATTTTCAGAAATCCAGGCCAAGCACGCCAAGGCAGCCTCAGAATCCGCGATCGACGTCGGAAGAGAATTATTCCAAAATGTACAAGGTAAGCTCTTCGAGACGCAGCCCCCGAATGCTAAAGACTCGACCTTTGCATATTAGCACTCACGGTGCTCGCCTGGTGGTACTGGTGCAATGCCAAGTGAGTGCACGTTCTTAATTTGTCCTTGCACATCATTCGTCTGATATGATATCGCTTGATGTTTAGATGGGCGGATGTAAGCGGATTTCCTGCGCCTAGCCCGGTCGATCCTCACTTCAATTCTTAGGCATTCTTGTGCACCTCCCATGCACTCCGATATGCGCTCCCGTGCGGTCTCAACGTCTGCCCCCCGTTTCACTCCATTGCGGAGACAGTGAGGCCTACGTCTTTATTGGCGCCAGCAACAGACGTCATTGAAGACGAAGTGAGACGCAACACTTTTTGGATAGGCAAGTAGGATCGACTATCATATTTCCAGCCTTTGATCATCAGGCATCTGTAGCTTATGCGATCGAGCGCACTCATGGAGTTGGGAATAATTGGGCAATGACACTGGATGATCAGGATGTATCTCAACTGCTTCCCCTTCGTCGGGACCAGTTCGAGCAGGGAGTAAGTGGCGCGGTGTGTTCATGATCGACTTCATGCTGAACATTCCCAGATACTTGTCGTGCCCCAAGAGCGACAGTGGTCACACGACAACAACGTTCTCCTCGTGCACCCTGACGACCAGACGGACTCTTTCATCTTATACATCAAAGGGACCATGCTACTGTCAAAAGTGAAGAACTTCAACCTGCGCTTCCGTCACCGGATTCATACCGGAGATGCGTCGACCATTGGATTAGGACCTTCGTCATTGGCGGGGATACTACGTCCAAAAGACTACGTGGACTTTCGCGAGACGCCTGCATTCATGGAGATAGACCAGCTTGTAGCTCTGTTTAAAACATCTTTCCCCAATTCTTGCAAAAACCCGCTGGAGGATCACGTGGACGCCCTCCTGTATGCCGCTTGTTTGTCGGCACAACTGTACGTTCATGTCCTCATAGTGCGTGGAATGCCGCTGATGCACTTGGCCCAGTGCTGACATCCTCCTCCACGAGCCTCACGCCATTGTTGGACGGGATTCGTGCAGATCATCTTGTCGTATCCTCCAAGCTGCGCGCGCAATTCTAGAGTTACTATATAGCATATGCGCGACCAGTTATGACTTGCAACTCTTGGGGCTATTCCCTGTGGTGCGTGTGGTAGTTGACGCGGAGCGCAAGTATCTGACTGCTTTCATACCTCGATGCAGATGTGCTGGTTTATGGCCGGGCGTGTGCTGGTTCGCTTCTTGCGCGCCGCCATCGACTCCAACAGCGAGGAAATGACCACTGCCGTCCGAAGCGAAGTCGACTTTATCTTGTAAGACGAATTACAACTTTCGGAGCTCGCGGAGTCTGATGACGATTTTGGTGCTTAGAATGGTCCTCTTCAGAGTGGGCGAGCATGTCCCGCTGGCTCGTACGTGCGATATCACTACCTATCATTGCGTGCTCATGCGTCTTGACAGACCGCTACGCTAGAATGCTGTTCGATTTTATTGGCCAAATTTGCGGCGAAAGCTATGCTATGCAGGTCTCGAGTGTGCCATCGCCACAGCAAGGCTATGTGTCGAGTAGCGACACAAATGGTTTTGCCAACATCCGCCCGGCGGGGGTGGCTTGACCTCGCACCCGACACTATCCTGCCGCCTCCATTCCGGCGCCAATTTACTGACTGTATCCACTTACGCTATCTCGCTCTGCTTTGTATCTTAGGAGTAGGAATTGGAGCCTTATTTATCTTGCTTTCAATGCTCCCCCGACTCCTGCCCAGTCTTTCGAAGTAGTTTTGCCATGCCCATAGGCCATTCGACGACGAGTGCCATACACGATCGCCCCGGAAGAAAACAAGCTAGGGCAGATTTTGGGTGGTTCACTGAAGCTAATAACGACCATCTTAGAAAAAACCACCAGTGAGGAAACAGAATACATGTTATAATAGCCGCGCTGCTACAATGAAATTTGGGATTAAGCAGCTCTAATATACGTCTAGCATCTAAGATCCAAGATCCTCATCTAATCTGTTACGCCTCTGAACAGTGATGTGAGCGGACTTCTCGAATCAGATGATATCTGGCCATAATACATATTACTCACTATTCTCTGCAACCTCGATTTTGTCCTTCTCTCGTATCTGCGCTTTCTCCACATCACCGCAATTTGGAGGATCAGAGGCTTCTCGCTTCTTCTCGTCGCTGGTAGGAGCCGCATCGGGCTCGGCAGTGACCGCAGCCACAGCGCTATCTACTCCACTGCGTGCTAATCTGCTCTTGCGGACCTCAATCCCGCCCTTGTAGCCGAGCCAAGTGTATCTCGGTACGTGCGGACCCCGAAGTAATATCATGAAGAGCATGAAACCAGTCCATGCGACCGATAGCGCCGCTGCGGGACGCCAGCCATATTTGGTGAAGACTTGCGATCCCACGGAAGTTCCCATAACCTGGCCCATGAAAAGCTGAAACAAAGCCGTCCATGAGCAATCCCGAATGCCGTGTATGTCGGAACAGACGCACCGAGAGCAAGAGCACCGCGTTCAGTCGCGCGCGCGCGTTGGGGTCGAGACTGAACACTCTCGTCGTCAGCGACACCTGTGCCATCTGCCGGAAGACGTCGAGCCCGAAGCAGACGATCACGACTGCAGCGATGTTTACACCGTCCGCGCCGACTGCAATAGCTTGGAACACAAGTAGCGCCATTATGGCCGTGACGGTAGCAAACCATGGGATGAGTCCGTCGATGAGACGTCCCACGAAGGGAGCCATGGCGACCCCGAATATGCCCACAAGACCAAAAAGGCCGATGACAAGCCTGTGTACCGGCAATGTAAGCTTCGCGAGAGATGGCGATCTATAGGAAAGCTCACGTCGAATAGTGATAGGGCGCATCCCCCAGCAGGAATGTCAACGTCACCTGTAATTAAATTTTTCAGCGTGGAAATTATTGTGAACCGTCCCGCCTTACCCAGAAATTTGTAAAGCATGCGCTCGAAGGCAAATTGATGAGATAGGCCTGGATGAGCACCGGCTCCGTAACGGCAAATTTGGCCATGCTGAACAGAATTCCAAAGTACGTCGCGCCTTTGTTCTTCGCAGGGTAGTCGGGGAGCACCAAGTACATCATGAGCAGCACGAGATATTGCACCCCGATGGCAAAATAATATACAGCACGCCACGTTACGAACTCTGCGATGATGCCCGCCAGAACCCGGGCAATGAGTACACCGAATAGCAGGCCGGCCAACACGATCGAAAGCGCAGAGGCGCGTCGCTCGGGCGGGGCGAGGTCGGCTGCAAGAGGCATGAGGATTTGCGGGACGACAGAGGTCATACCCACTAGGAAGCTCAGCGCTTCAAAGACTACCAGGCTCTTTGTGATTGCCAAGCCAATGGTGAGGGCCCCGGAGATGAACACAAGGAGGAGAATGAGTGGACGCCTCCGTACGAGATCGCCCAGGGTGGAGATGAGAAGGATTCCAACCGCGTAACTGTCGAGAAGGAGAGGCGTCAGAGAGATGTTATGCACCATCTTAAGTGATTTATTACCCTGCTTGGATCAATGTGGGGATTCTGGAAACTTCATCGTAGGTGACTCCGAAGGACTTTGAAAATTCGACTGATGAAATTCGTTCAGTATTTCATGAAACAGGACGGTCGCAATACATGATGACGTGCATCCTCAAGACTAGATGGTCACCGTCTAATGAATGCAGCAAAAACAAGCATCTCGGACGTCACGATGCAGGAGCCTCATCGAAAATTAGGATCCCTGCTGCCCTGCTGCGCATCAAAATAACATGCACCAATCGAGACAGCCCTGGGTGCCTAATGTCTGGACCACGAGACAAGCGAAATTATATCACGGACGTGCGGTCTCTTGTCCGACGCCTAGCAAATGCTGACAAACATTGAAACGCGAACATCAACTTACTGAGGAGAGGTTGACAGTAATACAAATTTGCGACAACTGTAGCAGTCCGTTCAATAGGCAGTCATAAATGAGAAGGATAAACTTACCAAAAGTACTTGCAAAGCCAAACGTTGCATTTATTACTAGTCCAAAGTGTGCAGGATGCTCGGGGTCGTATCGCAGTCGTCTAGGTATTGGAAGGAAGCCCAAATCGCGTGCAATTGTCGTATCTGGAGTCGTAAGGGAAATTGTACTAGTTTCCGGAGCGGTGGCAGCCTGTAGAGTCTCGGTACTTGTCCTTGGCAAAGGAGTATTGCCGTTGCCGTTGGCTAAGAGCGTATTGTCTCCCATGTCTAGAAAAAGCGAGCGCAATAACTGGAGGCATGCACAGAGCAATGCATAAATTTATGCATGCAGCGTTTATGATAAACAGCTTCGCCGGTTTATGACAAACTGGTTTATGACAAACGGTTTGATGGCTTAATAATAACGGACAATGGTTCTTATCGTTGCACCGGGAATGCGCCCACAGCGATATCGCTCTCGGATCAGGAGTGCCGTAGCGGCGGAGCTCGTCAAAAAGGCTCTTCAGAATTATGAACGTAAGACAAATGCCAAGCCAGCACCGCGCTGCCGCTTTCCAGACGTTCAAACAGTCCTTCGTAGCCATGAATATTTTTATACATAATGGTGGTGAGTATTATAACGTCTGTGGTGCGTCGCGGAGGCAGATTAGAACGGCTTGATTTGTAAGCATCACGACGATCGTCACCGCATCTGGTTTCAGCGCCGCACTCTTAGACTGCTGGATTGCTACTGTTCCACTCTGTTTCGACTCTCAAACAGCACTGCGCACCAGTTTTGTCATACACGCCGAGGTCTTAGTAACGGTCTTTCCTAGGGATGGGCGGAAAACAGTCAATACCGAAGATAACGGCTCAAGATCGCGCCATTTTGGAGTTAGTCAGAATTGTTTGGTACGCTGCCGATAGCAGACCAACGTCTACCTTGCAGCTTGAAATTACAGCGAGACAAGGTTAGGCAATATCAAAAGAAGGTACGAACAATGACGATGTCTATCAGAAGCAACTCACAACTCCGTGTGCACTCAAGATCCAAGCGGTGCTTGAACGCGAGCATGAGATAGCGAAACAACAACTGGCAGTGGGGCGCAAGGACCGCGCACTTTTTGCATTAAGGAAACGCAAATATCAAGAAAGCCTGCTCACGAAGACAGATGGACAATTGGAGAACTTAGAGAATCTGGTACATCTGGATTGCTGTTGTAGCATCGTTGTGTGACGATAACCGACGGTCATGGTGCAGGTGTCCACAATAGAGTTCTCTTTGATTGAAGTGTCTGTCCTGCATGGTCTACAACAAGGGAACGAGGTGCTCAAAGAGATCCATAAAGAAATGAACATCGAGTCTGTAGAGAAGCTTTTGGAAGAGACACAAGAAGCAAGGGAGCAGCAGCGCGTGCGTATCATATCAACTCTTAAATGT